CCTCTTCTGATCCAGCTCTCTGCTATGGCCTGGGAAAGCAGTGGAAGATGGCCCAGGTGCTTGGGTTCCTGCACCTGCGTGGTTGACCCCGAAGAAGCTCCTGGCTCTTGGCTTCAGATCAGCCCAGCTCTGGTCATTGCAGGCATCTGGGGAGTGAACCAGTGGATGGAAGATCTCTGTCTCTCTCTCTTTTTGTAACTCTGCCTCTCAAATAAATAAATAAAATCTTTAAAAAGAAAATAAGATAATAACATGAGAGTGAGTGAGGGTGGAGAAGTCTCTCTTTTTTTAATTGTTATTAGCTGAATTCCACAGTTTACAGCAGGATTCGCTCATCTGTTCCATAGTTGTGTGGGTTTTGACAAATGTGTAAGATCATATATCCATCACTACTGTAGCATACACAACTGTTTCACTGCCTTAAAAAACTCCTGTGCTCAAGCTCTTTGGTCTGTGGACTGTTCCTGTACTCAGACAATGGACAGTGACTCCTACCCACAAGTGCTGACACAAAATGTATCAATTCTGTGTATCCTGCCCCTAACACCTTGCAGAGCCTGTAACTGTGTTCTTGGATGCCCCAATTAGCTTTTGGTTGAGTGCTCTCACCTGCACCTGCTGTTGACACACCTGTGGCTTTCCTGCCTTCTCTCTTCAGCATCCTTATATCAGTCCCTTTACCAGGTCTGTCTCACGTCTTTCAGGATTCTCACACTCAGCACAGCGCGGTGTGCTCGAATTCTGATCCTGAGTGCAGGACAGTTTGCGCTGTGGATAAGCAAGCACTCAGCCATGCATAATCTTATGAAATACTCTCAAACCTTTGCTATCATTGTAAAAACTGTTATGCTCTGTATTAAGCTCAAAGTAGGCAGCAACAGGGCTGGCACTGTGGCATAGTGGGTAATGCCGGCATCCCATATGGGCGTGGGTTCGTGTCCTAGCTGCTCCATTTCTGATCTAACTTCCTGCTAATGGCCTAGGAAAAGCAGAAGATGGCCCAGGTGTTTGGGCCCCTGCCACCCACATGGGACATGTGGAAGAAGCTCTTGGCTCCTTGCTTTGGCCTGGCCCAACACTGGACATTGCAACCACCCTAGGGAGCGAACCAGAAGATATAAGATTGAATTCTGATGTCTGCCTGTCTGTTTCTCTCTGTAACTCTGTCTTTCAAATAAATAAATAAATCTTTAAAAAAAAAAAAGTGGGAAAGTTCAATGCTACGCATTTGAAAATCAGAGCCTATTTCAAATCAAGTAAGCTGTACTCAGATGCCTACACCCTTCTCGTCAACATTCATCACCCAGTGTCAGCGTCAATATTTATAAGTTAATGAGTGTGGCCGTTCAGGAGCACTGGAAGCTGGAGGAAGCCATGGCAGGAGTGAAAACCACTCCTTGCTGAGCCATGGCGCAGCAACACAACGTTTTATGGGGGGACTTGGGCCCCTTTCCAGGCCCTAGATCCCACTTGGCACAAGTTCTAGGCTCCCTCGCCCAAGATGTGGGAGAAGGGGCTGCCTTGAAGACAAGCCCTCCCCTGGGCTTCTATTTTTAGAGTTTTTTTTAGGCAAGGTTGCCATGACAAAAAATAAGCTGGAAGTTGTCTTTGGGGAGGAGAAAATGGAACATCTCACTTGGAGGGAAAGAAGCCACACAGAGGAGAGGACTGAGAGGTGGTAAGTGCAGGGAGGGCAGAGACCTGTGGCGACTCGGCCGCCAACACACCCCTCGCAGGGCCAGTGGGTGTGTGTGTGGGGGGGGTGTATGTTAGTTTACTTTACATCGCTGTCACAAAATACCTGAGACTCGTTACTTCATAAAGGAAAAGAGTTTAGCTCAAAAATGTGGACACAGCCTTGGCTTCTGCTTCTGGTGAGGGTCTCAGGCAGTTCCACTCACGTGGGAAAAGCAGAAAAGGGAAGCAGGTGCATGAGAGAGACCGAGAGGAGGTGTCAGGCTTGCTGTGTAACAACCTGCCCACTGGGTAACCCAGCACTCCCAAGAGAAAAGTAGGCATCCCTCTGAAAGGACTGACACTTCTCTAGGGGCTGGCATCGTGGGACACTGGCATCTCATATCAAGGCCCTGCTGCTCCACTTCCGATCCAGCTCCCTGCTAGTGCGCCTGGGAAAGCAGTGGAAGATGGCCCAGGTCCTTGGGCCCCTGCCACCCACATGGGATACCCAGATGGAATTCCAGGCTCCAGGCTCCTGGCTTCACCCTGGACCAGCTCAGCTATTGTGGCCATCTGGGAAATGAACCAGAAGATGGAAGATTCTCTCTCTCTCTCTCTCTCTCTCTCTCTCTCTCCTCACTCAAATAAATAATTTAAAAAGAGACAATAGATGTGAACTGTACATAATAGAGCCAGCTCTAAAGACATTTTTTTAATATTTATTTATTTATTTGAAAGAGTTATGGGGGGGCCAGATACAGAAAGACAGCAATCTTCCATCTGCTGGTTCACTCCCCAAAATGGCCACAATAGCCAGGGCTGAGCTAGGCCAAAGCCAGGAGATTGATCCAGATCTTCCACATGGGTGGCACAGGTCCAGGCACCTGAGCCATCCTCTGCTGCCTTTTCTAGGCCATTAGCAGGGAGCCAGAATCTGAAGTGGAGCAGCAGAAACATGACCAGGCCCCATATGCGGTAACTTTACCCACTAGGCCACAACAACGGCTCCACCCTGTAAAGACTTTCTATAAGGCACCTGTCACAGAACAGGCTTTTGTCAACAAATGTGTTTACTGAATAGATGCACTAAAGCAACAGAGAATCAGACTGGACACGAGGAGGCACGTTTTAACTGTGAACATGATAAAACATGGGAAAAGCATTTTTGGTAGGGCTGAGGCACCTGCCCAGGCAACTTCAAGAAGACAAGGAACAACTGTTGTCCTGGTGGATTATATACCCATCTGTCTGGACGCAGGGACACAACAAGGTAGTCCCCAGGAAGGGAGGATGATGGGGAAGTTTCCAGTACAATCGTGAGGAGATAAGGTACAGGGAACAGAGGCCTGCTGTGTCCTGCCATCGGTGGACAGAGCCTTGGACAGAGTCTCAAAGAGAAGAGAAAACTGAACCATCGTGAGACCACCTCCTCTCCTACCTGTGAATTTTTCTCACCCCTGTTGCCACCAACATTGTTCATCTTAGTCTAATGACAGTCAGGCCTGTGTTATTTTCTGAATATTGGTGTCAAGTCTTCACAGTGAGAGAACCTGAGGATACTTCAAAAAGTTCATAGAAAATTGAATCCAAAGATAACTGATCTTGGTGCAAAGCAATTTCAAAATCATAGCTACAAGGGGTTGTCTAAAAGTTCACAGAAAATGCATACAGTGAAAAATTACACCAAAATGAATATACTTTTGTGTCTTTATTTATTTATTGCCATTTATTTGAAGGGAAGAACTACAGAGACACAGAGGCAGAGAAAGAAAGAGATCTTCTATCATTTGGTTCACTCCCCCAAATACCCATGACAGCCAGGGCTGGGCCAGGAGCCAGAAACTCCATCCAGGTCTCCCACATGGCTGGCAGGGACCCAAGAACTTGAGCCATCATCTGCTCTCCCTCAGAGTGTGCATTGGCAGGAAGCTTGAGTCAGGAGTGGAGCTAGGACTCGAACCCAGGCCCTCCAGCATGGGAAGTGGGTGTGCCCTGCTGTGCCACAACACCCACCCCGATGTCTTTTCATTTCATTTGCCACCAACACTTTGCAGTATCTCTGTATGATTCCAGTGAGATAATCCTTTCTCACAGAGGAGTCTGAGAAAAATACGTCAGGACATGGAGGACCGTGGGAAAATAGATACCTAGAGTGCCCAGTCCTGTGTGGGGACAGAGTCCATGGACATAAGCACAAGGACTGGCCCAGAGGCCTCCACGCAGCTCCCAGGGCAAATTCTCCTGGCTCCAGATCAGGTGCTCCACCTGCCATGGGCCCAGCCTCCGACGCAGATCCAAGTAGTTGCCTGGGAACCGTGGATGGTGACATCCAAAAAGCCTCCTTCCTGTGTCTCCTGCTCCCACCTGGTGTCTGTCTCACTTTTGGCTCCCAAGGTCAGCTAGTTCCCGACCCTACGATCGGAACTGTGATAGAGGAGTGCCCTCTAGGTGCCAAGGCCAGGAACCGACCTGCCTCCCCCTTCTCACCTCCCCAAAGCCTCTGAGAAGACCACGGCCCAGGCTCCGGGAAAGGCTGCTTATAGGCAGTGGGTGCTGGTTGGTATTCAGCCCTAAACTCCCCAGAAAGGCCCACCTGCATCCTAACCAGCACTTCAGCTGGAAATTACAGAATGGCATGGGAAACTGGGCCGGCCCCTGAGGGTGGCCCTGGCTCTGTGTACTAATTCCAGGGCATGATTGGCAGCCAGAGTCTGCTTGTGATAGGTACTTGGGTATCAGTACCACCCAGGGTGGCTGATTAGAACCTCCCAGGTGGCTCTGAGGAAAGCATGGGTGGTGGCCTTTGCCCCTACAGATTCTGTAGCGTCTGAGATCAGCCTTGGGGGGCGTAAGTGCATCAGAGCTCTGGTTGGGAACCCACTGGTCATGAGTCCAGGCAGGTGCTGGACATTTCTGTGCATGGTAACCAATCCTCACCTCTGCTCTCAAGTTTTCCATCCGTCCAGTGGGAAGAATTATCCCGAGTCCGCACCTTCCTTCGCTCTGCCAAGTAGGGAACACCTGTGTGATGGCATGTGCTTCCCACGATGAATCCTTTTATCTGTTGCCCCTATCAGATGTGAGCTCCTTGAGGCCGAAATCCCATCTTACCTCTCCTGTGTCGACCACACTGTCGAGTTTGATGCCTGCACGTGGAATGCTTTCAGTAAACACGAGGTTGGAAGAGCAACTGTCTCCTGGGGTGTGTGATTTCCTGGCATGTAGCTTGCTCTGCCTCGGCTGTATGGGCTTGGACCATTCCCCCAGCATCAGATACAGCCTCCCAGAGGGCACACCTGTGAGCAGCCACCAGCAGTCCACCCACCATGGACCCTAACTGCAGACTTCCTGTCCCGCGGCTCTGCTCCTGGGCCCCTGCCTGTGCTGTGAACCCCTGGCATCCAGCAGCCTTCCAATCTCCTAGGACTTGGTCTCCCTACCTGGGAGAGACCAGAGGACCAGTCGGGTGGCCCCCAGACAATACACCCGAGAGAAGCCAAGAAATCGACCCTCGGCACTTCTTGCTCTGAAATCTTCCCAAGGTGGCAACTGTGTCCCTTGTCCCCCTGCTGCCAGCTCGCGTGTCTTTACGAGGTGGGGACCTCAGAGGGTGCCATTTGCTGCCTGGTGGTGTCGCATTAGCTCTGTGTCCCTCCAGAGAGCCACCTACTGCTGCACACAGAGAGAGCGCCGGAAGCACACTTGCTGACTGGAGTGACAAGGACTGGGAGACGAAGTGGGAGATGGAAAGCGTCCATCCGCAGACTGCACAACTGCGGCTGGATGTTTTCGGAACCGCTGGCTGCCTTCACATTTCCTGGTGGAAGTGGGGCAGGTCAACAGACAGCCAGAGTCACAGATAACTTTTGCCCACACATCATTCACTTTTTAGAGTGCTGGCTTGAAACTGTGTGTGTGTGTGTGTGTGTGTGTGTGTGTGTAGCCAACGTGCCTTCCGTGACCCTCAGGAGTCACTCCAGTTTCTCTGAATGGGCTGATTACAACACAGAGGATGTGGACGCTGGGGTTTTTCCTGTTTGATGTCACACTGCTACCCTTTAAAAGTCTAGGGGGCAAAAGGAGGGAATGCAGCCGAGGCTCCTCACGTCCCTCTCTGCTACTTGCAAGACAGCCCAGAGGGGAGTCTCAGGTTTCAATCTCAGCATCTGCCATTCGGAGAGAGAGGCGCGATGTTAGGGGCCCGGCTCCTCCGGCTCTTGGTCTGTGCCCTGGGCAGTGTGTGCAGCTGGTGTGTGGTCCGAGCCTACCCTGACACCTCCCCGCTGCTCAGCTCCAGCTGGGCTGGCCTGACCCACCTGTACACGGCCACCGCCAGAAACAGCTACCACCTGCAGATCCACAAGGACGGCCAAGTGGATGGCACACCTCATCAGACCATCTACAGTGAGTAGGGGCTTCTGGCTGGGAAGAACGGGGACCTCCCCTGTTGTCCACTATGGAGAGTTGGGAGAGGGCTTGGGTTAGACCAGAGTGCTAATCCAGCCACCGAATGTGTTGCCCAGGAACCGTTTCATGGTGTATGGTGTACGTGTGTGTGTGTGTGTGTGTGTGTGTGTTATCCTTAGGAGAAGAGTCTGCTCTCTCCCTAATGAGTACTTACTGATTTCTCTCAACATGAATACTTTGTCTTAGCTAAAACCCCTCTTCCCACAATGAGAGCCCACTTTCCCTTTGCCTTGGCCAAGGAGTCAAAAAAAAAAAAAGTATGGAAAAGAAATGCAAGGAGTCTAGGAAGAAGAGAAGATAGATAGATGAACACAGGATGCTTTTTTGGACTTGCTAAATAGGGAGATTATAAAGAAGATTGCTTATCACATCAAGAAGCTGCTTCCAACTCCTAGCTTCTAATATTCTGGCCTCATAATTGTTCTTCAGAAGAACAGATGGAAGGCAGAGTGCCCAGGTGTTGTATCTCGGTGAGTCCGACCGAGAGCACTTCCTTCCATGTCCTCATCTATCCATGCATCCATTCGCCCAACAGGGTTACTCATGTTCTGCAGGAGTCCAGGGTGAGCTGGTGACTATTCTCTGGGGAGCTCACATCTGTCCTAGCAGTGTCAAGTTGAGCTAACTGGGAACTCACTGGACACATGAGAACACTGCAAAGTTTCCAAAGACTAGGTTTGTGGGATGCTGGATCACAGTCCACAGCAGTCCATCAGTTAGCAATGACCCAAAGGAGAGCTCCTTCACTGTAAAAGGGAGAATGGAGTAGAGGGCATGTGTGTCTTGACGGGTCTTCTGTTTTAGGAGGACATGTTAAATTACTCTGAGGACACAGAAAAATGAAAATTGACTCAAAATAGTTCAGGTCAAAGGAATGAAGGAATAATCCTGATCTCTAACTGAAAAACTTCTCATAGGAATTATGGGTTCTCTTTTATTGTTGGACTAGAGTAAGGAATTATCTTGCTGTGACCCTGCTGTGTGCAAAGCATTTGTTCTGCTAGGAATCAATGCTTTTTAAGCCTGGTAGCATAATGCATGCACACACAGAGTCAACCTTGGAAACCTCAAAGGCTCACTGGGTACTGACAGGCAGTGAAGGGATGGGGAGTTCTCTCCAAATTCCAAGCAGGTTCCAGAAGCAAAGGAGATATAGCAGTATTCAGAGTCACTATTCTTGAAGCTGAGTTTGATCTAACAGCATATATTTGAACTAAATCTGGATCTACTTGATGTGACCACAGTCCTGCTCCTGGTAGTCAGTGGGTATTTAGTAGGACCCACGATATGTCTGGAATGATACAGAGAGGGAAGACAGAGCTCTTCAACAGCCTCCAGTCTGCCATCCCTTCTGCCTGCCAGTGCCTTCTCGAACTTCTAGGCAACACAGGTTTGCACCTCTCTGGGGAAGCCACCTTGGCCTCCTCTGCAAAGCTGTCTGTGATCTGAGCCCAGCGTTGTGGTGCAATGGGTTTAGCCACTGCCTGCAATGCTGGCATCACATGAGTTCCAGTTCTAGTCCTGGCTGTTCCACTTCTGATCCAGCTCCCTACCAATGCACCTGGAAAGCCAGCAGATGATAGCTCAAGTGCTTGGACCCCTGCCACCCATGTGGGAGACCCAGAAGGAGTTCCAGGCTCCTGGCTTCAGTCCGGCCCAGATCTGGATGTTGCAGCCATTTGGGGAGTGAATTAGTGGATGGAAGATCTCTCTCTCTCTTTCTCTCTCTTCCCTTCCCCCATAACTCTGCCTTTCAAACAAATAAATAAATCATAAAAAGGCTACATGTGATTTAAAATGCATGAGAATAGATGATGACACATTATTCTGACTCCCATAGAAAGAAGGGGTAGAGAACAGCTAAGGAATATTTGTTTGTTTGTTTTTTAAATTTATTTATTTGAAAGTCATAGTTACAAAGAGAGAGGAAGAGACAGAGAAAAGAGAGATCTTCCATCTGCTGGTTCACTCTCCAGTTGGCCGCAACAGCTGGGGTTGGGACAGGCCAAAGCCAGGAGTCAGGAGCTTCTTACCAGTCTCCCATGCAGGTGTAGGGGCCTAAGCAGTGCTTTCCCAGGCCATAAGCAGAGAGCTGGATCAGAAGAGGAACAGGGCTGCTGTTATGGTATATGATGCTGGTTCAAGTCCCGGTAGCTCCACTTCTGATCCAGCTCTCTGCTATAGCCTGGGAAAGCAGTAGAAAATGGCCCAAGTGTTTGGGCCCCTGCACCCATGTAGGAGACCTGGAAGAAGCTCCTGGCTTCGTATTGGCGCAGCTCTGGCCATTGTGGCCATCTGGGGAGTGAACCAATGGATGGAAGACCTCTCTCTCTCTCTGCCTCTGCCTCTACCTCTTTGTAACGCTGCCTTTCAAGCAAATAAATAAATCTTTAAAAAAAAAAAAAAAGAGTAGCCAGAACATGAACCAGCATCCATATGTGATGTTGGCTTCCCAGGTGGAGGCTTAACCTGCTAAGCCACACCACCAACCCCCTACTGGGATTCAGATGGACAGCATTTGGCAGCTTCGTGGGTTTCCCAGGCAGCCGCTATGCCCCTAGACTCAGTACAGGTAATCTTTGCTCTGACATGGCTGTGACCTTTGAGCTTGGAACCAGTCTCCACGGAGGCAGAGGGCGAAGGGGTCAGACTTAAAGCTACTGTCAATTATGTATGGTGTAGGAAGCATGAATGGGTTTCGGGCCCTGGCTGGAGACCAGCCTTTGAGAGGAGACACTGAAAGACCACAAGGGGTTGCCCATGGAATGGGAACTACCACATGAGAAAGGACCAAGGACAGTCAGGAAGACCCAAGAAAAATGTTCCATCCAGCCTTGATAGCCATTCAACGTGGAAAGATAAGGCCTCTGCTCCCCTGTAGCTCACTGCCAAGGAGCTAAAGACTAGGTATTGACTAGTTAGAGCCCAATGGGTAGGGCTCCTGCTTAACATTAGCAGAGAAGGGAGAGAGAGACTTACTCAAATACAGTTCTGGACACGTGATGAGTGCTGTGGAACGCATTAGACTATTACACCGCTGGCTGGGTGGAGAACCGGACTCTACCTCCAGGCTGCACCCTTGACAGAGATCTCAGCACAGCCTTAAAATTACAAACGCAGAAGGCTTGGAAGAACATGACCACTACCACTGACAGGAAGAGGCATTAGCCAGGCAACAGGGGAGACAGAGAGGGTACAGGTGCAGAGAGAGAAACAGGTGTACAGCACAGGTGAGAGAATGCTGTGAGTTCAGAGTGCCCCACACAGCAGGAGGTGGGTGTGGCAGTGAGTGGGTGTGTGTGAGATTGAGACAGAGAGAGAAGTGGAGAGAGAGCATTGAGTGACGCCATCATCAATCTTTGACACCAACACAGGAAGGTTTTGTGAGGGTGCAAGTACCTGAAGGTGGGAATTGGAGGTGCAAACAGTCTCTGACCAGGACGCTCCTCTCCATAGGTGCCCTGATGATCAGATCGGAGGATGCTGGCTTCGTGGTGATAACAGGTGTCATGAGCAGGAGGTACCTCTGTATGGATTTCAGAGGCAACATTTTTGGATCGGTGAGTGTGTGTGAGTGTGTGTGTGTGTGTGTGTGTGTGCGGGGAGGCAGCGGTTATGGATCTGCATTTTCCAATAGTTATCTATTGGACTTTTCTGGCTTGAAGCTTCCTTTTGCGGGTGCCTTGCTCATCTGTTCTCAGCGAACACTTTTTTGTCTGATCTGAAATGTTCACATTTATACAACTGGGGTTTGAACCGCAGTCTGTCTGGCCCCAGAACCCAGCCACTCGGTCCCTTGTCTGCACTGCCCATGGGTGCCCATTCTTGTATCTAGCACAGACCCCTGTGTATAGTTGTAGGTCTTAGAGATATGTGAAAGCATGCCATAAAGCACATTAGAACGGGCAAGAAGCTAATGGTGTCTGCTTGGACCTGTTGCAAGCTGCTACCTTAACCAGTCCCCTCACTTTCCCAAACTTCAGCTTTTTCACTCAGAAAAAAAAATGTGGTGGAGTGGCCCACATGATTAGGGAGCACCTCTGTCACAAGTCTGATCGCTGGTCATTCAGATTGGCAAGCAAGAGGTTCCTCAAAGTAAAGCCGGCTGGCACGTCCCAGTGGATTTTGAGATAGTGAAACAGTGGAACTGCTTATTTCAGGATTCTCTTTACCACCAGGCATACTCAGAGAGACGGCGCAAAATGGGGATTTTCTGTTTGGGTACCTGCTAAGTCCCAGTTCCTACAATATTATGTAGCCAGAGTGGATCTACATTTATTTATTTACTTACTTACTTATATTTAAGAGAGAGAGCACACACAAGTGTTACCATCCATTGGTTCCCTCACCAAATGCCTTCAGTAGCCCTTAGCCAGGAGCTGAGAGCTCATTTGGGGTCTCCTGTGTGGGTGGCCGGGACCCAATGACTTGAGCCGTCACCACTGCCTGCCAGGGTGTGCATTAGCAGGAGGCTGGAGTCAGGAGCCAGAGCCGGGCACTCCGATATGCGATGTGGGATGTGGGATGTGGGATGTGGGATGTGTCCGATCCTAACTGCCTGCCCGGAAGGACACTCTTTATCTGTGGAACATCAGAACATCTAGACGAGCACAGCTCCTAACTGTAAAACATTTACTGTGTGGAGTTTGAAAGTTAAATGAAATACACGTAAAGGCCTTCATAGGCACTCAGTAAGCCTCACTCAGTACTAGATGCGGAGTGAGTACTGGAGCCCAGCCAGCTCTCAGTAAAGTTCTTGTCATTGATCTCCAAGCCACATGCTCTCTCTGATGTCACTACTCTCACTCACTTTTGATTGTGCAAACCCCATCCAGGCAAGGACGCAAGCCCATCAGCTTCCAGCCAGGAGAGGATTCAAAAAGGTAGAGAGTAGGGGAGGAGGAGGTGACGTGTAACAGCCCTGGCTCCAAACCCTGAATGCAGCCATTGGTGTCAGCTCTCTCTGGGGTGCTGCCCAGCCCAGGTATCAAAGCCATGAGCTGTGCACCCTAGCGGCGGCCACTCCCTGGAAGTTGGGACTATATTCAGTGCTTGGGCAACCTAGAAGGCATCTGTCACCATCACTGTCCCCGAGAGGGGACCCAGGAGGTTAAACAGTGCTACTTAATGGTGTGTGGACTAAGTCAACAAGTCAAAGCTGGACACAAGAGAGCCTTCTGGGCCTTTGGGCCGGTTGGCACACAGCCTAAGGCCCCAGTGTGTGTGTGTGGGGGTAGGGTCTGGGGTCCCAGGCCCACATCCCCAGCCTTCACACACTTCCCTCTTGCCTCTCCAGCATTACTTCGACCCCCAGAACTGCAGGTTCAGACACAGGACGCTGGAAAACGGGTACGACGTCTACCACTCTCCGGAGCATCACTTCCTGGTCAGCCTGGGCCGGGCCAAGAGGCCCTTCCTGCCAGGCATGAACCCGCCACCCTATTCCCAGTTCCTGTCCCGGAGGAACGAGATCCCCCTGATCCACTTCAACACGCCGAGGCCGCGAAGGCACACCCGGAGCGCCGAGGACGCCTGGGAGCAGGACCCGCTGAACGTGCTGAAGCCCAGGTTCCGGCTGACCCCGGCCCCAGCCTCCTGCTCACAGGAGGCCCCAAGTGCTGAAGACAATGGCCTGGTGGCCAGCGACCCCTTCGGAGTGCTCCGGGGCAATAGGGTGAACATGCACGGGGACAGGATGGGCCCGGAAAGGTGCCACCATTTCCCCAAGTTCATCTAGGGATGCCAAGGGAGCCTCATTAACTCTCCTTTAGCAAACTAAACTCTGTATAGGGACCAGCTCCCTCCCTTGCCCCTCGATGGATGGGGAAGGTGGTGTGGAATCAGCTGCTGCTCTCCAGTCCTTTCTCCGAGAGTCGTCTCACCACCTTCCTCACCCCTATAACCCTACCTTTCTGAATGAGCAACCCCAACAGGTAAATGAGAAACAGGGACTCCTTCCTCCCCATTCCCTGTCCCCCTTCTATATCTCTTCCATCTCTTCCCTCGGCCTCTCTTCTTACTCAGTTTGGCATTAAGGTAAAGCAATAGCTTGGCGAGCTCAGTAACGCGCAAGGTGCAGGGCGGGAGAGAATTCCGGCAGCTTCTCCATGGATCTGAGGGTATGTGTTCCTGCCCTGATCCTGTTGGCATTTGGGTCTGCAGGACTTGCTGCTAACAGCTGGATTGGGCAAGCTGATGAAAACACGGGTCTCCAGCCTTTGTTCTTCCTCAGGCATCTCTGGAGAAGAACTGTGGGAAAAGGCAGCATCTAGGGTGCCTGGTGTCCAAAACCTCGCCGGGGAACTCAGCTTCCCTGCCGGGAGAGAGGCACCCTTTACCCCTCTCTCTCCCTCTGTGCAGCCAGAGCCAGAAAGCAAGAAATGACCCTGCTCCCAACAGGCTTGGGAGATCGCCTCACCTCTGGGCCCCATCTTTGCCCTTAGTGAATCTGGCCCAAGGACCAGCTTTCGTACAGGGTCATGAAAATCTAGATTGGTGTTACAAAATGGAAAAGGCATTCAAACTCTCCCAAGAGGCACTTTGTTAAGCCTCTCCTTCCAGACTCAATAATCATCCATCCTGGATGAATTACAAAAAATGGGACTGGGGCAGAGGCCTTGAGACGCTCGGGCTGCTCTGGGGTAGGCCGTCTGTGGACCAAAGGATCGTGTCCCTTTTCCTAAGTGAAGTGGCATTGAGGGCTCAGGGGTAGCGGGGAGAAGCCCAATAACCAGGGGACTAAATTGTAGGAATTAGGAAACGATCTTGACCATGATTTCGTTCGTGCTGTGGAATAGCAGCTATTGGATTACTTTAAACACTGCTAGGCAGACACACCTGAGTCTCAATCCACTTGGAAATTTTGCGGGCATTAACTGAAGACAGCTTCCTGTCCCAGGAGCCTCAGTGTTGTACTGAGCAGAACAAAGCCTCAAGTAGGGATGCCCAAGAGCTGGGATTGACGTCGGCCCTACAAGGGGGCCTTATTTTCCTACCTCCATTTTAGCACCCACCTAAACTACAGAATACACCTGAAACACAGATCCCAACAACAGCTTCGTGCCAGTCACCACTGTCTGTAACTGCCACCATATAGGCCAACAGAGCCCTTGTCTACTCGCATTGGACAACTGCTTTTTTCCTGATAGTTTTTAGCTGAACTTGAAGGGCCAGTTCCTCTCCTGAAACACTAAAGCTGTGTATCATAGTATATAGCCATGCCTAGCAAATACTTCAATAGTGTTCATTTCCTGTTGGGGATACTATCCTGGATGCTAGCTGGTAGAGGCTCCCCATACTGACAACTAGGTGGAAAGAATCCCAAAAGGACTCGGTAGAAAAATGATTGCAATCCTACAACCTCAACACCACCATGAGGGGTTCTTCTGGGCAGAGCCAAGGTGGCCCCTATCACTTCTTTGATGTCCCTTAGCGTGTGGCAATATTTATTTATTTATTTGGAAGAATGTTGCCTGTCACTCCGTATTTATATATATTTATGAAAATGTAACCCTACTTTTTTTCTTCTGTTTAAGAGAAAAATAAAACTCATCTCAGCTTCTCATAGTGTCTGCTTTTCTGTATTACTCATGAAAGCATGTCGGGGCAAGGGGATAAAAAGGATGGTGGGGGTGGGGCAGGGCTGTGGCATAATGGGTAAAGCAGCTGCCTGCAGTTCCGGCATCCTACATGGGTGCTGGTTCAAGTCCCGGCTGCTCTGCTTCTGATCCAGCTCTCTGCTATGGCCTGAGAAAGCAGTAGAAGATGGTCCAAGTGCTTGGGCCCCAGTACCCATATGAGAGACTGCAAAGAAGCTCCTGGCTTCAGATTGGCGCAGCTCTGGCTGTTGCAGCCAATTAGGGAATGAACCAGCGGGTGGAAGACCGACCTTTCTCTCTCTCTCTCTCTCTCTTTCTCTCTCTCTCTCTCTCCCTCCCCCACTCTCCTTCTCTCTGTGTAACTCTTTCAAGTAAATAAATAATCTTAAAAAAAAAAAAGAAATGAAAGAGGAAAGAAAAAAAAGAAACTGACTTGTTTGGGAAGTTTAAAAAAAAATTTTTAAAGGGATGGTGGGAGTGGAGCATTAGGGAAATCCAGAGAAACCAAAATTGAAAAGGGGCATCGGAATTTTTAAATATTCAGATTTTTTCCCATGTATAAGCACACTAAGAAAACAAGTTTTATTAATCCAGATAGAATTATTGAAAACAAGGAAATCTTACCAGTATTAGACTTTTGATCATTCTGTCCCTAAAGTAATTTCTTTAAAGAGAGAAATCATCTTTATTTGAAAAATGCACACTGATACAACCACAGCAGTGTCTCGTAAACTTCAGACATCAGCTGAGTTGCTGCCCTGTGAGACCTGGTAGGATATCACCCAGCTTAGGATCTGCGCACCCTGTCCTTCCGAGGCCGGGGTTCTCAGAGCTCTCTCTTTGGTCTCCATCAGACTAGCAAAACACAGGATGCAAAGACGCTCCTGACACACTGACATGGAATTCACAGCCCTTCAAGCCATAGTTGGCTTTTCATGACCTGGTCTTAGCTATCAGCTCCTCCCTTTTAATAATTAATGTAAAAGTACATAGTGGGGCGGGCACCGCGGCTCACTAGGCTAATCCTCCACCTAGCGGCTCCAGCACACCGGGTTCTAGTCCCAGTTGGGGCGCCAGATTCTGTCCTGGTTGCCCCTCTTCCAGGCCAGCTCTCTGCTGTGGCCCGGGAGTGCAGTGGAGGATGGCCCAAGTGCTTGGGCCCTGCACCCCATGGGAGACCAGGAGAAGCACCTGGCTCTTGCCTTCGGATCAGCGCGGTGCACCGGCCGTGGCGGCCATTGGAGGGTGAACCAACGGCAAAGGAAGACCTTTCTCTCTCTCTCTCACTGTCCACTCTGCCTGTAAGAAAAAAAAAAAAAAAAGTAGTACATAGTGGTTCACCACTTTGGTATTCAAACCACCTTCTGACCAAGTCTCCCAAGGGAATTTTCTTCTTACGTCTCCCTTGAGAGTCTGCGTGCTGACGCTCTCCATTCTAAGGGCACAGGAGCACCATCCCCAGTAGATGCTGAAACGCTGTACTTCTTTGATCACACAAAACAGAGTTTTCAAAGGCTGGTTGATGTTCCTTCCGGAGTTCTCTCAAGGGGTGGGCATTTGGCATAGTGGTTATTGGATGCCTGCATCCCTTATCAAAGTGCCTGGCTCTACTCCTGATTCCAGGTTCGTGTCAATGCAAGTACTTGGCAAGGTTCCTGAAACCCACACACCAGAGATCTTGACTGAGTTCCTGGCTATTGGTTTTGGCCTGGCCCAACCCCAGCTGTTGAGGGCATTTGGGTAGTGACACAGCGGATGGGAGATCTCAGTGTGTCTGTTGCTGTCTCTCCCTCTGCGTGTGTGTCTCTGCCTCTCAAATATATAAATATAAATAAGCAGGAATATAGTGGGTAAAGCCATCACCTGCAGTGCCAGCATCCCATATGGGAGCCAGTTTGAGTCCCGGCTGCTCCACTTCTGATCCAGCTCTCTGCTATGGCCTGGGAAAGCAGTAGAAAATGGCCCAAGTGCTTGGGTCCCTGCACCTGCATGGGAGACCCAGAGGAGACTCCTGGCTCCTGGCTTCAGATCAGCTCAGCTCCAGCCATTGCGGCTACTTTGGAAGTGAACCAGTGGATGGAGGATCTCTCTCTCTCTCTCTCTCTCTCCCTCTCCCCCCCCCCCTCTGCCTCTATATAACTCTTTTAAATAAATAATAAATAAATCCTTTACCAAAAAAAAGGCAGAAGGGCCGAGTGATTCTTCATTTTGTTTTTGGCCCACTGGATCCAAAAACCCATAGAAATGGAGCAGTGACAAATAAGCTCTTGGGAATAAACAGGCCTTCATCCCCTTACAGCGGGAGGATGAAGCAATGAAGAAGAAAAAAAGAGGTACTGTGGCCATTTCTCTTCCACAGGCTTCCAGGGTTCTTTTGTTTCTGCAGGAAAGTCATCCCTGACTAAAGAAAGGAAAAGCAGAGCCTTTAACACAAAGCAATAGATGGGGTGAGGATGGAAGGGGGTAAGGGAACAGAGACGTCAATGTCGTGACTGTGACTCGTGTGTGTGTGTGTGTTCAGTTCTATATATTTCAAACTGACTGCTAGAGGCTTCAACAACCTCACCACAGGCAGATTTTCCAGTGTTTAAAGCCCAGTCTTTATCCTGTCTACATAATTACAAATCCTTGCCAAACAAAGATGTCATCACAGCACCAATATATATTTATACGGAGATTTACTGTTTATATAGATCTTTCTTAAAAAAAAGATTTATTTATTTGAAAGGCAGAGTTACAGATAGGCAGAGGCAGAGAGAGACAGACAGAGAAAGAGAGAAAAAGAGAGAGAGACAGGTTTTCCATACGCTGGTTCACTCCCCAGATGGCTGCGATGGCCGCAATGGCCTCAGCTGCACAAGGAGCTTCCTCCTGGTCACTCAAGCAGGTGCAGGGGTCCAAACACTTGGGCCATCTTCTAGTGCTTTCCCAGGCCAGAGCAAAGAGCTGGATCAGAAGTGGAACAGCCGGGACTCGAACTGATGCCCTATGGGATGCCGGCACTGCAGGTGGTGGTTTTACCTGCTAAGCCACGGCAGCGACTCCTATATAGATCTTTCTTGCATTATAACTCATCCAACATTGAGAATCACATAGGTTCCTCTTCTAGTCATGATGGAGTAAATGCTACCTAGATCTGCTCTCTTGTCAAAACTATAAAACAGAAATATGTAAATAGGAAGTAGTTGTTTCCAGGCATGGTGTAGCTCAGGGCTATGATCCTCTGGAGAAAAATAACTCAGGAGGTAAGAGCCACAATCATCCAACTTTCTGTCTCAAGGCTGCTTGATAGCCACAGCACAGGAGGTAGAACGCAGGCCGAGCGGCAGTGTCACTGAGCTGACAGAAAAGCTGCCCTTTGCAGGGCAGGGTAGCCGAGAAGAGGGAGCCTTCAGAAGTCTGAATGCGCATTCACAGCAGGCTTTGGCCAAAGGTTGGATACCACACGCACAAGGAAACAGGCAGGAAGCTCTAAAGCTGACCTGCTGCAGCATTAGGAGAAGAGCAGCGAGTGATTCCCCAGGCTGCCAGTGCTGACAAACATCAGAAACCCAACCAGACCCCAGCGAAGAATCTCACTGAGTGCATCAGCATTGTTTTTTCCAAGTCAAGAGGTAGAAACAGAGAGAGAGAGAAAGAGCTCCCATCTGCTGGTAAATGCCCACAGGGACCAGAACTGGGCAGGGATGAAGCCAGGAATCAGGCAGTCAGCCCAGGTCTCCCACATGGGGGACAGGAATCCAACTACTTGAGCCATCACTGCTGCCTCCCTTGTCAAGAAGCTGGAACTGGGAGCTGGAACCAGGAGCTGAACACAGATCCTCCAGGATGGGATGTCGGTGCCTTACCTCCCAGGACAGACTCCTGCTCCCAGAAAGCTGTATCTTCTTAAGCATGGACTAACCCCAGCGAAAAGGAATAACCTACAACAAAGTCAAAGCTGAAACAGGCTTGCTCCCCCAGAGACTGCACCAATGCTGACACAACGACGGTGGGCATGGGGGGCACTTACAGGAGCTCTGTATCCGGAAGAACAGTAACTACCACTACAAAAACACGTGACAAGCGATGTGCAGAAGAGAAGCAACAAAGGATATCTAAAACAAATGGGAGAAATTTCTTTAAATGATACGATTAAAGCTTTACTTGTCAATAATAGTCCTGAATATAAATAGATCAAATTCCCCAACTAAAAGACACAGATTGGATGGATGGATTTTAAAAACACAAGACCCAATTATATGCAAGAAACTCACTTCACCAATAAAGACACATACACACACAGACTGGAAGTGAAAGGATAGAAAAAGATGTTTCATGCAAGCAGAAACCAAAAGCGATTTAGCTCTACTTATATCAGATAAAATAACCTTTACAAAAAATATAAAAAGAGACAAAGAAGGTCACTATAAAATGATCAAGGAATGGATCCAACAAGAGGAAACAACAATTATAATCATATGTGCACCAAGTTCTGGAGCACCCAGCTTTGTAAAATAAAAATTATTACATCTAAAGTAAGAGACTTCAGTATGTTAATAATGGGGGACCCCAACACCCCACTTTCATCACGGTGTGAGGAGTCAGACGGGCTCATAGGTGGGTCCCAGTGGAAACTGAGGGTGCAAAATGCTTGCTTCTCCCAAAAGTTATCTTTAGCAAGGTGAAAAGTGCCTGCCTCACTCCTTGGGAGCTTCCAGTCTCATGAGAACAGCAAGGGGGTGGTGACCCCACTCTTCTGAGCTCCCAGTTTACTGGAAAACAAGTATCCCACTCTTCTGTTTTATCCTGAGCAAGCCAGACCAGTTCCGAGTCTTCCTCTCCTGATCCCCCCTCCTGGCCACTTTGGCAGGAAGTTTCCAATTTACATAATCCTGTTTTTCTCTTTCTGCCTTGTCTGCCTGATAATTCTTTCGTGTGAAACAAAGAACTGAGCTGTCTCTTCGCTGCTGCTGCTTCACTCATA